TTCGTGAATTCACTTGACAGCCTGATAAGATAAGAATCGAAGGGACACTGTGCGCTACCATGCTAGCCGTAGGTGAGATTTTTTTTCTTACACGACTACTTCAAAAAAAATTCCGTAGCCTTTTTTTTCAAATTCAGTTCTTCTCATATTCTCTCCGCTGCTATGCTCGGCTCAATGGAGCAAGGTTTACCAAAAGTAAGGATTTTCATTCTATGTACTTGTTAATATCATATTTTTATTGATTAAATCTATCATAGTTTGGCTTTGGATGACCTTGGAGCTCCCGGCTATACATGCAGCGCGGAATTGATGAAGCCAAGTAAGACGATCCCCAAAAACGTGAATTCGGTACGACCAGCTGATATCAAAGTGGTCATGGCCCTTGGAGACTCGCTTACTGTACGTTACTTCTTAGGAGATCTACGATTTACAAGGTTGAGTACTGACAAGTAGCTTTTCAGGCGGCTAATGGCGCAGGGGCTGAAGACCCCGTTGCTGTCGTACTGCAGTACAGAGGCCTGGCTTTTCAAGCCGGTGGCGACAAGAGCCTCGATGAGCACGTCACTATTCCTAGTAAGTTTATTCACCATAATCAAGTAAAACTACTTTTTTAGTAAGTGGTAAAAATAAAAAAGGCTCACTTGTCCACTCCAGAAAAAAAAAACCATTGCAATAGTAGTCCTGGAGAGGAGTGAGTAGAAGAGTTTATCTGATTTTGCTTAACAAGTAAGAGGACCATGACTTAGTCGGTACATAACAAAAATGTGAACGACGCAAAATCTGTCAAGCTACTTCTAATTGGCAAAATCTTTTTTATTTTCTATTTCTCTAACTTTATTCTGATTTCAAAGCAGTTCCAAGGAAAGTAGCAGTGAATATGACATCATCATTACTTGTCATTCAAGAGTAGGCATAGCAAAGTCTGATCCGGAAGGCAGTAATCAACTGTCAAACCATAGAAAAGCCTGAAAGTGATGTAGACCAAATTAAGTATTAATTACCAGTAAGCTGAAGTGTTGGAATGCAACCACCCCCTCCCTCCCCCTTCGATTCCTGTACGACCGCGGATATAGGACAGAGCAGAAGGGAGTTCCAGAATTGTTTTGTAAAAAATACCACTTAACGAGATTTGTTATTGGAATCCTTACGAGTTATGACGCCTACTACTGAAATAGCATACCAGTAAAGTGTTTTTAATCCGTTGCATATTACATGACATCCGGCACATCCTTGCGTCATAGACTATCCAAACAAAAACTTGTACTTGTAAGTTTGCATTTGGAAAATTTTAAATGGTTTCGTGTGCGTGGGTTAAATGTATATATCGTTCAGTAGAAACTGGAAACAATAAATCTTACGCTATTATGATTTACTGCAGAATATTCTCTTTTTTCAAGAAGTATAAACGGAGAAATTCGGGCATCCCGATATCGCCAAGTAGTGCTTATGTAAACCTTATGTCTTCTACGAAGCTGACCCACACGGAAGGAACTTTACAGAGATAGTAAAGTTCTGAATGAACTAATCGGTCGCTTAAGAGTTTCACTGGGTTCAAGTTATGAGGTAACAATCAGCCTCCCAGGATCGAAAGGGGTTCGGAACCTGTTTGCGTCTGACTGGACCAATGGGAAAGCGCTTTGCAGGACAGACAATCCCCTCCAGCCCTCAATAAACCACGGATACTTTTTGGTCTAAGCATAGTCAACATAATAATGGTCCCTTTTTGGGTGTCATGAGACGGCGGTCCTTTCAGTGTAAATAGGGGATAGTTCAAACGTTTAGGTTAGAAGCTCGACTCGGCCCTGAGGCTGGACATAGTCTGGGATTATGCAGTTGCAAATTTTCAAGATCCAGGTCAACCCTGGGAAATCACCACAAAAGTTTTCAGTGCTCAATTGGCTGGTCCATTGCTTTCAGGACTTATAATAAGTCCTGGAGTCTGGAAATCATTCATAGAGGTATCACAGAAACTTGAACAACCACTGAATCTCCATCCTCTCAGAAAAAAATCTGGCACTGATTAACTCCTGACATTCTAATAGACGTGAAAAGGCTCGTCCTGCCATTGCTTAACATTTCTCGAATATCCCCGTTTCAGCTCTCTAACACTTTGTGGGATGTAAACTTCCAATACATACATAATTATTCCCCAAAAAGCAGCAATATCCATTGACGGAGAGTGGAAACGAGAGAAGAATGGAGAAAAAAAATTCAGAATTCAAAACCATCAAAATTTCGTTCTAAAAAATTCCAACCATATGTAATGCAGTGATTTTTCAGATATTCTCCGGGTCTACAATCCCAAATTATTCGGCTACTCAAATGGAATTGGATCACCAAATGTTTGGGAGGTTGCCAGGCTGAATGTAGCAATGCCTGGTGCTGAGGCAAAAGATCTACCGGGTCAGGCTCAACAACTCGTCGGTTTGCTACAAACTCACCCTGAGGTTGGCATTATTTGAGGAAAAACTTACAGATTTACTTTTTTACGATTTTCACATGAGAATAGGAGCATATCAAGGAAGATAGCGTCGACTTTCACACATAACTCGTACATTTCGTAAAATTCGTGTAAAATAGTAAATTATGATGTTGAAGAGAGATTTCTATTGCATGATAATAGGAATTCCACTTCAAAATGCACAGTTTCGATGAAGGAGAGTGAGAACTCCCACGAAACATTCCTATTGAGGAATTTCACTTTGACCATCTCATAGATGACGTGGATTTCAATTTCATACGATATAAAAGTACAAATCCTCTATTATAGCAATTATGATTCCTCTGAACCAAACTGCCAGAAGGAAGCAATCGAATATTATCACCAATGATGAGGAATGCGAACATGTTTAGTTGTTTCATCTCAGGGTAATGCCCTGAAGCTACCAAGGAGATCGAAACAATAGCTATTAACGGTTTTTGAGATAACACCCAATGAAAAGATTGTAAAGAAGTCAAATAGGTATTTTTAAAATATAATTTCTTAAAGTGATTAAATGAAAGGTTCAGGGGAAGTAGCCCAAGGAAAATGCGGTGAAGGCTGTCAGTTCTTGCGACAAAAGCGCATAGTTTGGGTTGTGTAGCAGAACAGTCAAGTGAAGCGTTCTTACTCATCGCGTCCACCGCGCGTCAAATTTCTCTCTACGTCTGTGCCCTCGCGACGATAGTTTTCAGTGGTTAACTATTGAAATGGACTCGTCAGTTAGACTGGGATCCCCTCGATAATAATGAACCGTATTAATAGTCATTGATATCGATCGATAACCGCCTGGAACGCTTTGAAACTGTTTCCCGCCTAAATGGGAAGCGATTCAACACCGCGTTGTTGAGAGAACGGAGACGATTAAGAAAAGAGGACGAAAAGAAAAGAGGCAAGGCGTATCCGTATTTCAACCCAACAAAGTGACTGATCAGTTGGATGACTTTGTGAAGAAGATTACTCAATAATAAATGATAGAAAGCTGTAGCAACGATCCTCAACTAAACTCACAAAAGAAATTTTGGAAAAAAATCCAGATGACGAGTATTTGTAGTCCTTGTGAAATTTACATCAGAACGAGGTATTTGAATAGTATTTTAGTGAAATGTTGGGAGAGATTTGACGTAGCGATTGAGTCACTTTTGAAAGGTGATGGCAGATTTTATTACTGTAGACTCGCCTCTTTTTTAGCTAGACCCTAAGGGAATCTTCGAATCTATGTATTATCCACAAATCTCAATTCACCCACCCTTTCGTTAGAAAAAAGGATGCCTGCATTAGCCTCTAGCTGAACTCTTTTCCACCTAATTAAAGCCATCTGATGGTCATTTCAGATTGCCCCAGATGATTTTTGCTCTGCCTGAAATTGAAGCCGTATATCAAGGCATACTATGGCGCTGCTCTTTCGTCAGATTTGAGAAAAGGACATAAACGAGCCTTCAAAGGCCCAGCCCACAAAAATTTTGGGGTATCTAGTTCGGGAATAATGGGAGTGATATCTCAGAATACTGCAAAAGTAACGAAAAGAAAAAGAAGAAAACGAAACTGGCGTATTTAGGGAAATATAAGGCTTCGAAAAAGCGGTAAAATTAGGGGTTGGACGAGAACGTGACGACAAACAATGCATGGGATTGGTATTGGACGAGTTGTTTGAATGTGCGCGCCATTGCGTAGCGCTGGTTGCAGAAAGATGCTTGCGTGCAAGGAGTGGGGTCACAGTTCATCCTTGAGAATCTTACAATCAGAAATCTTTTTTCTCGAGGACTGTGCCTTTGAGGTTATTCTAACTCGGGATTTGCATGAAAGAAATGGGAGGTCAGAAAGAAAATCACCTAAGTGAGAACGTGAGGACTTTTTGAAATTAAATTAAGTAGTAAGTAAGTTAGAGTAAATTTATAAATAGGTTGTGGAAGTTTTTGAAAATATACTGAAATTTTAAAGTACAGAATAGTACTTCTGCGAGATTGCGTAGTACATCCGGCGGAATATTTCACTCAAAGACGAGTGGGCGTAAAACGAACCCTTGTTGCCGTCATCGGAAGGGCATTTGGGAAATATCTGATTAGGCGTCTCATCGACTCTCTATATGATACTCATACATGATACTCGATACCGAGTGCTGTTTTCTGATAATGATTGAATAGGAGCTCTTTAAAAATCTTGTTGTCATACTTATTTCGATATCGAAAGGGCAGTAAAGTGTACCCAAGGGCACTGATATCCAACCAACCCAAGCCCGATTGCAGGAAACCTGCCCAGTTGTTGACCATGTACTAGACAGATGCTTCAGCAATCAATAAAGAACAAAATGAAACCATTTAAGGTTTAGATTTTGAGGACTACTGGGGCACGTAGGCCGCTTAGCAGGTGCAAATGACAGCTTAGATCCTGAAAAAAATGATGCTCGATAAACAACGTAATAGGTAATCAATGAGTAAATAGTTCGGAGAGGAAGTCGTGCGAAGAGCTTAATAAAAATCGTATCAATGGAAACTTGGCAGCATTCCAACTTTACCAACTCTTCATTGAGTCCAGTATAGACATGACGTCGATGGCATCCCCATCATTTAGTAATGCAAAACTTTTCAAGAAAAAAAAAACCCAAATTAAAGGAATAGGCCGCCGAATCAATGAAGGAACTGAAAATAACGGAAAACGACTCACCCCAACATCACAACATCAAAAATTACACGTTACAATAATGACTGCATAATTTTACCATTAGCATGTTGATCTTTTTTTTTNCACCGTACATACTTCCCTAAAAGCTGGTATAATACTAAACAGGGTCCAAAACAAGACTGAGGTAAAGCTACATGTGAGACGGATAAACTGAGTTATCAGTAATAACATAACTTTCATGAGAATCTATTTAGGTAAGAAGTAATACTATTCTGACAAATATTTTGAGAAGTCGAAAGTTACTTTACTTTCACGTTACTTTCATTACATACATACAACAGCTCATTACTTTACTGAACTGTCGATTGCTTTAGTAGTTGTTGTACAGCTTCTTAATACTAGTTAGAACTGTTTAAAAGATAGTTTCCATACTTATTGATCATGGTGAAGTTATAACGAAATTACGTTGGCCATGGCGCTGAGTTTGCAGAATTTTTAATTTAATTAGTGCCAATAAACTTTATGAAGCAAATACAGACTTAATGGGGATAGGACGATCAGAGGTGCTACTTGTTTGTTAAGCATTGCAGTAAACAAAGTAGCCTCCTATGGAATGTGGGCGGGTACTGCCATCTAATTCTCGGACGGTACGATTGACGTGTCCAACAGGCAGCCGTCCGTCCGTTAGCCCCGTTGACCAAGACAAATAATATTTGCTCAGATGGGAATAGAAAATGAGGTGAGGGGCACGAAGTTAAAAGCGAGTGACAGAGAGGATCAGAGGATTGAAGGAGAAACAGTCAAAATGGGTAACTTACTGATTAGATGACTCGGAGAAGGCCTACGTTCATGTTGCATTTCCGTTTGGTAACTATTTCGAACTTTTCGAAAGCTACCAAGTTACTCATCGAGCATCACTAAGTTCTAGAAGACTGCCATTTTCTACTTGTCGAGCACCAATAAAATCTGTCATGTTCTCAGTCGTTTTGAGGTACCTTCTGGCCTGCTTCTCAAATTTAGCAGTACAGGGGCATTGTGCCGTCAGTTGTTTTGGTCATCAGTGATGCGGTAAACCAATAGATAATGTGAACACACATCTTAACTGCTAAACTGCTAAACAGTACACGTGCAGTGGGTAATACAGTCCAAAAACATTCACAACATTTATTAACGCTTTTCTACAACTTAATGTACTAGTTCTACCCAAAGAACCAGCCAATCAAATCCTTTCACATAATGGTACTGTGTAATATCATCGGATTACCAAAAGGGATTATTAACTGTCTACATACTCACCCGAACTTTCGAATGAACTTACTAGAGAACACTCTGAAAGCGTCCTTCTGAGCTGCTCCATTACTTTGATGTCAACAGTGGTACCTATAGAAACAGCTTAATCAAGGACCATCTTATGAAGGTTCGGTTAGACTCTGTCAGCCCAACCGTACCTTCATAAGATGGTACTTAACTAAGCAGCGAAGCACATTGAGCAGGCAACTTGAAGATTCTTCGCTTTAACGTGAAGTAGAAGATCTCGCGATGATCTACAGTCAGTCACCATTTTATGAGGCAACCAGGTGATATGCAGGAGAAAAGGTGATCAGACCAAAGGATAGATACCATCTGACAAAGAGTGACAAAAGAGGAATGCTAGGAAGTTATTGCTATGAAAACTTAACAGAAAATGTGAGAGGGCATGGAAAGACAGTGAAAAAACGCAGTGGCATACCAAAAACTACCATCTTTCACGATCTATGGTAGGTGGTCCAGTGAGGGAGTGGTGCTAGACAAAATGGAAGCAATACAACATGTCAGGGCTTAGAAAGAGATCACCGACTGACTAACGGGTTTAAGAAAAAGGAAATTACTCATTGTCTGTCAGAGAAATGAAAACCTCTCCGTTGTCTCTGGTTTCTGACAGGAAAACTTCGAAAGAATGCTTCAAGCAGTGAACTATGCTGTAACGAAGCGAAGAAAATCATAAGAGCGTAAAAATGAAACTTAATTCGTGCGAGAGAAGCCGGGAATTGAATGGCTAGTTTTTTTTTTGAATTTTGAGGGGTAGAGTCGCATGTGTACGGGGCGCAGTTGCCATATTTTGGACCAGCGGATCGAGACTCTAAGCCGTGAACCAATTCATTTCCACCTTACTCGATTTTAGTGGCAAGTTCCTTCTGAAGGGGAACGCGATGGTTAGGAGACCAGATATACTCGTACCTTACTAAACACGAGGGGAATCCTTATGTACCATGACCATTCCCAATTTAGGCGAAATAAATGTTTTTCTGAGTAGGTTAGTAAGAATGTGTAAGAACGAGTCGATTAAAATACAGGATATATTACTCAATAGTAATTTCTAGA